TCTACCTGAATTTCTAGAAACTGAGACCCCAAAATAGCCTTATCTAGTCTAAATCCCTGGGTAACTTCTCTGACTTCATCATCGTTGCCTTCACTTGGAACTCAGCTTCCTCCTAACTGCTCAATTTCCTCCTCAACTTAATTCTTGACTTTCTGTTGCTCCCATTCATTCACTCGTTCATTCCCCAAACACGTATTTACTGAATGCTGCCAATGTCCCCAACTCTGCTCTGCACACTGAGGTTACTGCAAGGAGCAAACACAGACCAGATCTCTCAGCAACTTTTCTCAGATTAGATGGGACCATATCCATTCCCAAGGATTTGATTCTCCCCTCTGTATATCTAAATTTTATTATGTGTTTATCTACATTTTCAAGGATCTGTGTCTGGAGTTGCAGCCCCACGTCCATCCTGCCTCATGGCCATGTCTTGCCAGCACCTCAAACTCCACGTGTCCTGAGCTGAACCTGCCCTCTGCCTCTCCACACCAGCTCTTCCTCCTGACGTCTCTGTTTTGTCAGTGGTATCATTTCCCAGGCACAAACCTCAGAAATACCCAGCTGTTTCCTCTTCCTCGGCCCAATAGATCACCCAGTTCTGTCTGTTCTTCTTCATTCTGAACAGATGCTTTTCATGTCTGTCATTTCCTTTTCTTACTCGCTGTCATGTACTGAGTTCAGATTCTCATTTCAAACCTGGACCATTGTGACGTCTCACAATGAGGCACTCTGTTCTCTCTATGTGCTTTTCCCTCCAGAGCACCCTAATCCTTGCTGCTTAATGAAACTTAGGGTCATCTAAGAGGGTGCTCTAGGTATTATGCAAACCAACTTCTATCTTTTTTTTTTTTTAATTTTGTTTTCTTTATTGATTTTAGAGAGAGAGGAAGGGAGAAGGAAAGAGATAGAAACATTGATGAAAGAGAACATGGATTGGCTGCCTCCTACATGCTCCCCACTGGGGATCAGGCCTACAACCTGGGCATGTGCCCTGACCGGGAATTGAACCGGCGACCTCTTGGTGCATGAGTTGATGCTCAACCACCGAGTCACACCAGCCAGGCCAATTTCTATCTTTCTAAAGTACTTCTTTCGAAACCATTTTTCTACCATCACACTCCATAAATATGATATAATTTCAGCTCCTTGGTTTGGCTTTCAAAACCATCCATAATCTGGTCTCATCTCTCCCTCCCTGAGGATGGCTTTTCTACACCACCACCTCCCCCTTGGGTCTCCTTTCTCATCCCTCAGTGTAAGCTTGAAATGTCCCCCCTCCTTCCCAAAAATGCATATTCTAGCTCAGTGTTCAGAACAGTAGTTTTAGAATCAGAAACATCCAGTTCAAAACCCTGTTCTGCTCATTACAAGTTGTGAAAACTTGGGACCTGGCAGCTCTAAATCCCAGGTTTCTTATTTTTCAAAATATGGGGGAAAGGCTACCTCGTTGTGAGGACTGAGTGTAATTATGCCCAGTTCATAACACATGATCAATCTCACTACCAACTCTGTGCATCAAGCAGCTGGAATTCCAAGTGACTTCCCTAGGACACAAAGTCTCTAATGGGCCCAAAGTAACTGTGAGCACCTCTTAAACATCTGTAGAGTCAGGCTGCCAGCCAGGCAGGAGCTCCATAACCATGTGCTTTTCTGCTCTGCATGATGGTTCCCACCTTTTCTGCTCAAATGTTTCCTCAGAGGGGCCTTCCCTGGTCTTCATTTGAAATCCCCATACACCTTCACTTACTCTCCATAGCCGTCTCCTTTGTTGTCATCACAGCACTTTTCACTATGTGAAATAATCTTTCCTGCTCACTCTCCTGTCTGCCTGAACCCCAAAAGGTGAGGTTTACACGGGCAGGGTCTTGGTGTCATTTCTCATTCTGTCTCAGCACCAGGACCAGCGTCATAACTGAATGAATCTTTGCCTCTCTGAAGTGTCTCTATCCTTCAGACTCAGCTCATATCCCTTCTCCCGTGAAGTCTTATGAATAACCCAGTCCAAAGTAACTTGCCCTCATTTGAAGTCCTGTAACAAATCATCTATATTCAATTGAGTCTCTATAGCTATTTTCTATGCCATGTTCTTGTATCTCGTTTTTGTACGCATTTGTATATATTGTATGTATTTGTATGTGACATTATTTCTTGTATGTGATGTTATCATTCATACCTTATATGATCATTTACCATGTTTTTTCAATCAGACTATAAGTTCCTTGAAGTCAAGAAATACTTTTGGCCCAGCCAGTATGGTTCAGTGGATTGAGCGTCATCCCATGGACTGAGAGGTCCCAGTTCAGTTACAGGACAGGGCACATGTCCGGGTTACGGGCTCGATCCCCAGTGGTGGTGGTGGGGGTCCTGTGGGACGAAGCCGATCGATGTTTCTCTCTCTCCCTCTCTTTCTGAAAAAAGTAAATAAATAAATAAAAACACATTTTTAAAAAGAAATACTTTTGTGCATCTCCTAGAATTATTTAGCACAATCCTTTACATGTGATGCACTAACAATTCTTGATTGATTGATTGATTGATTGATTGATTGATGTATTTACCTCTAATATGTACCTGGCACCGTTTTAGGTGCTAAGGATGCAATGATGAATAGAGCATTGTCCCTAAATAATTAATCGGGTGACATTATTCAATTATTTCAGTGTATATATAGATTAGGAAGAAGTGGCTCTTGGCTCTCTTGAAAGGCTTTGTCCAGTCAGAGACTGTCACTTGCCTGGACAACCTCCGGTGGGTCATGTGAGCTCTCAGAGCCTCTGTCAATCAGACAGAGATGATACTTATCTTACAGAATTGTAAGAGAGATATGTGAAAACACTTCATAAACTACTAAGTTCTATATAAATATCAGTTGTTACTATCACCACTATAATAATATAATTTAAGCTGAAACTGGAGCCATCATGAATAAAATGCATTCAACATTACTGTCACTGTCTTATGAACAATATTGTCTAATTATCCAACAATAATGAAAAACCTGATTCTGCCTGCCGCAGTGTGCTGGCTGACGACCTTCGAGCAGGACTTCACATTGCTCCTCCCAGCCACAGCGTTCTGAGGGTGGACGGCCGCCCCGCAGAGGGAGCCCTGTGCCCAGCGCACAGGGCACCTGCTGCTGGGAGCGGGAACGGCTTTGGAACCACCAGCACAAAGCTCTAGCCTGTCCAACGTAGCTTTTTGGGTTCCTCTAATAGAATGCCCAAATCTCTCCCATCAAACTCCCTCTGTGGTGGCCTGCTGGAGGTCAGGGATACATGAACCTGGTGGTACCACTATCCATGGTTAACTGTTTGATCAATATCAGTGTGCCTCTCTACAAGGGTGTGTGCTTCCATTCAGTCACATGTCTCTTGTCTTTCTTTCCCCAAACTCAGGCCTCAGCTTCCTGCTTAAGGATCATCCCCAACCCTCAGGTTGGCTTTCCAGTCTGTCTGTTGTGAGTCAGGCCATGCTTCCTTCCGGCCTCACCCACCACCACGTCCTGGGGCCTGTTGCTCTCCCACATCCCTGTGGGAGAGGCAGGTCCACGGGTGATATCATCTGTTTGTAAACAGTTTCCACAAATCACCTCCCACTAGGTGTCAGAGAACCTCAGAGATGGAAGTAAGGGCCCCTCCCACCCAGAGCAGGACTGTCCTTTGGACCGGGCTAATTTGGTCTCAGCTTTAAACATCCTGGATGAATCAATGGAGCATGTCTGACCTCACGTCTGAGCAAATACCTTCTATTGGGTGGATGCCATGACAGAGCTTGCCAGTCACTGGGTCATTGATGTAACAGCAGCCAAAGAAGCCAAGCTTCAATTTTCTAACAGCCTGGGTGTGTCTACAGAGGCCTGAGTGTCTCTTCCCCGGGTGGTGGTGATTCCTCAGCAGTAGACCATGGAACTTTGAGTCTGAGAACATGGGCTTTGGCATCAGTCAGACCCCGGTTCGAATCATCTCCCTCACTCGCCCTCCGGGGGCCTTGCACATACACTAGCAGTGCGACTATGGCTGACTCTCTGAAGCTCTTGAAACCCCATTTCCTCACATATGAAAGATTAAGGAAATTCATGTCTATATTTTAAGATTATTGTGAAGATTAAATGAGATGATATATGTAAAGTTTTAGCCTTGTGCTGGAACAAGGTACGTGCTCAGTAAGTGGTAGCTATTGTTACTATTATTATTATTATCACAGTTATTATTTCCCTTCCCTTTTGAACCAGCAGACAAGCTGCAGAGGACATTATTCCCCGTTTCCTCTTTCCTGATCTATGACCACAGGCCCAGGTTTCTGGCCCACTCAGGATGACCCCACCACCACCACCACCAGCACCTCTAGAGAATGACATCCCCATGTTCCTGAGCGTGGCATGTTGCACTCCACAGAGGCCTGGAAGCCCATGGCTCCTGGCCAGGCCTCAGCAGCACGGATGAGACCTGGAGAGGGAGCCTTCCAGTCTCCTCTTGGAAAAGTTTCCTTACCCAGCCAGCACATCAGGGGGTCAGTGATCCTTTGTGGCAAAACAAAAAGAGTCTCAGCTGACCTGATTCCAAAGTCAAGAAATGGAGACCCAAACTTTTGCCACACAGCTGCCTGGACCTGGTGGACAGGAGGGTGGGCAAGGCTCTGGAAGGTTTTTCAGGAGGACCAAGCAGAGCAGTTAGGAACATAAAGTCTGGAGTCAGGCATCCAGTATTCATCATGCACCACCTGTGCAAGTTACATACCCTAGGTTTCTCTTCTATGAAATGGAAATACGAGTACCTACCTCACTGAGTTATTGTGAGAGTTAAATGAGATAATGCATGTCACATTGAGTTCTTAGAACACTGCCTGGCTCCAAATGCGATTTCTCCTATCATAATGAAGTAGCATGAATTTTAGTTTTCTGCCTTTTATGTACATGACAGGCCAAGGCTGACAGGTAGTGGATGGGGTAACAGAACAAGACCATAAATACACAAATGAAAGAACAAATAGGAATGCCTGTGTTCTCAGGAGGTAGCTTTATTATAGCATGTCTTTAAGACAATCAAATCTATAGGCATTTATCGAGCACCTACTGCATACAAGCCTATGCAGACAGTAGAATGCAGTGTCCATGCAGACAGTAGAGTCCACCATGGCTCTCAGGTTCCCAGGAAGGAAAATCACGTGATGTCAGGAAGTTTTGTGGGGCTGAGAACAGGGTGGGTTTCTGGACCTCCAAGTGCAGTGAGCTTGATGGGGGCGGGGCAAGGGAGTGCAAACTCGGAGGCCCAGAGGAGACTGAGCATAGATATAGGAGGTGGAGATGGGGTGGCAGCAGCAGGCAGCGGCGGCCGGTTCTCTGATTGGTGGGTGGCTCTGGAGAAGCTCTTCAGGTCGGCGGTGGCCTCAGCAGCCGCCGCAGCAGCCCGGGCTCTGGGTGTTGCTGGAGCACTGAGACCTCCGGCTGCCACCCCCGCAGCACCCGCACCCGCTGCTGCGCCGCTGGCGGCGCCTCCTTGGGAAGCAGCAGCAGCCGGTGGAGACCGAGCCGCAGCAGCCCGAGTCGCCGCCGCAGCCGCCGCAGCCGCGGCAGCAACCGGTGTCGCCGCAGCCGCCGCAACAGGAGGACGAGGGAGTGGGGGCCCGGGAGGGCGTCGGGGCGGGGCACGGGGCGGAGCACGGCGCGGAGCCCTGGGAAGACCCCTTGGAGAAGCCTTTGGCGGAGGACATCGCGAACCTGTCACTGTGAACCTGCAAGAAAAGCAGCCTGTCACACACGAGCACATTTTTTTCTTTCCAAAAGTGGAACTCGGGGCTTCTGAGACTTCGCTTTGGGATAAAGCCAACCTGGCCTGGTACAAGGAAGAAAAGGGGGGGGGGGGGGCGGGGAGCAAAGAAACAAACCCCACGCAGGTGTTTCCAGTGAATTAAACGTGCATAGAGCGAGACACGGTCTACGCAGAGTGGATGGTTTTCTATTTTCTGGTACTGGATAAGGACTGCCCTCAGTTCTCCACAGTGGAAAACAAAGAGGCAATGCATCTGCATGACCCAGTCCAAAATCTTCTGGCTCTTTCCCCCTCCCCCATCTCATTGTGGCCAGAGATCCTCAACTGATGTTGGTGTGGTTATTAGCATTGTATAAAGACACCATCAGTTAGAAAAGACCCAAATTACATCTGCATCCCTAATGCTGCCCGAAAGAATCCACGAAGACCAGAGGCATGTCCTGGTCATGCTTTCATGCCTATGCCTCTAGTTCCCCCAAAATCACTGGAAAAGGAGAGTGATGCTGAATTTGGAAATGCATCCCATTCCAGAGGAATCCAAAGACCTGGGCCTGGTCACATCTCTGCTAAAGACTTGCCATGAAACCTTGCAGATATCACACACACAGACACCCAGTCTGGCCTCTATGTCTTCATTGGCACCTTGAGACTGGCTCACTTGAAGCTTAAGGCACTTTTAAGGGCTCTCCTTCTGCATCTACCTGCTGGTTGTGTTCTGCCTTCAACTTTTCCCAACCTCCTCCCCAAACTCCACTTAAAGACTTACCAAACCCTCGCTCCACTGGAAGACACTCAGTTCTGCGACTGGATGGGCCACCTGCTAGGCTTTGGAATAAGCAGAGTCCAGCCAGAGAACCTTATATAAGATTTCAATAGTGATGGCTCTTGGGAGGGGCCTATTTCCCAATAGATGTACTCAGCTGACACTCACATCCCAGAGACATTTGTCACTCAGGTAGAACTGTAGGTGGTGCACGTGGCTGTTCAAGTCACCACCCAGAAGTGCCAGGATTGCTGTGGCATGTTTACTTTCCAAACAGGACACTGTTCATAGCTAGGAGGGCAGTGTGGATGAAAACAAAACATGGGGGCTCAAGTGAGGAGAGGTCTGGAGCCCTTTCTTGGGACCTACTCTCTTTGTCGCTTTGTCCTTTTTACAGTGTGCATGCACACACACACACACACACACACACACACCATTCCCCTGCTCACACATCATCCCTGTGTAACTATCTACTTGGCAGTTCATTCATTTGTTATCTTGGTCCACATCATTCTGGTACTTGGTCCTTGGCTCTTCAAGTCAGGCTACAACCTATGTGAAAAGTCTGCTGGGCTTTTTAAATGCGTCCAGATTGGATGGAGTGAAGACCATGATGGGGATGCACTATGGGAATCGCAGTGGCGATTTCTCTGTGTCACTAGAGACGGGAAGAAAAATCCAGGCAGTTACGGAACCATTACAAAGAAAAAATCTGTGAATATAGTCATGTTACCATCCCGCCAACAACCCTGATGGGCCTAAGAAAAAAATATGTGCGGGATGCTGGTCCAGTTGCAATGCCAAGTCAGCCTAAGGGCTCTCTGTTCCTTACTCCATCCCCAAACCCCATTTGAAGGTAAGTTCTCCCTGGGGCCACTGCCCAGTGGAAAGGAGAAGAAAGAAAAAAGGGAAGAAAATAAGAAAGGAAGGAAGGAGGGAGGGAAGAAAAGAAGGAAGAAGGGAGGGAGGGAGGGAGGTCCAAAGTATCCAAGAAACATAGTGTTTTATAATAACTGATTTTAAAAAATTAGGAGAGACTTTGGAGGTCAACTGGCTTCAGAAATTCTTTTTAATCAATGCAACTCCCCACAACCATGAATGTGAGATAAAAGAAATCTAAGACTAAGAATTCAAGAGTTGATGCTGAGACATAGGTTTGGGGGTGAGTGAGCCGGGAGTGGCGTAAGGGAACAGCAAGGAAAGGTAAGTCACAGAAGATACCAGTTTCATTTAACATGGCTTTAGAGCCTGATTAACAGGATGCATGTACCTAGGGTCACCTGTTGGTGAGTCCAGGTGAGACATTCCAAGAGGTGAGGTCAGTATTAGAAAAGAGAAGGAAGTAATAAAGTAATAAGATAGAGACAGATCTCCTCTGGGAGATGATTTGGGTAAATACATGCTCATTAATGGACTTTCTATGACCTCATACACTAACTTACTTTACCCATTACTGTTAACTTTGATCAAAGAAAAGGCTAGTTGTTCACCTTTTATATAAAAGGCTGATTCGGAATTGTCATTTCTATCACAAACATTCTGAGTATCTCCTGGAGGAAAACCCATACAATCGCCAAAGCGCCCCTGCTCCCACCTCCCCAACCCCCCCCCCCACACACACACACACTACATGGAAGGGGGTATCCTTCTTAGTTCTCTACTCAGACCCAAACTTGGGTTTTCAGGATCCAGCGAAAATGGGCTCAGACATTTCATCCCTGCTTCCTCAACTCACACACTCAGAAACTAACCCCTATCCGGTCTCTTCTCTAGTCAACCGATGGAGCACCTGGGATTTTAATAGGAAAGTAAAGGGTGTCTGTTCATTGAAGCCCAGAATGAACACTTTAGGTGAGCTTATTCCCACAACTAGGAAATGCTTTTTAAAACTCTCACCCACGCTGGAAGGAGAACTTCCGAGTATGTCCTCTCACCATGATCTTTGTGAGTACCACCATCCTTTCTCTGAAAACCTGTTCCCGACTCTCCTCATGTAAGGCTCGTGTCTGAGTAAATGGTCTCAGACATGACTCTTCCCTTCAGATGTAAAGTTTCTACTTTCAGAGCATAAAGGGGGATATTGTTTCCCAGAAGTCAAAGCAGTTTCAGTGCCAAAATCGGCTTCTCAAATTGATTTTTAAAGTGTTCACTTGCACTTAAAGGGGAGATGGCTGGATGTGGGGGGAGGGGAGCGGGCGGGAAGCAGGCATGGGAGAGGTGAATAAAACATAATCAGAGGCAGGGACATCAGGAATAAAGAGCTTTATTGTTACAGAGAAAGCAGCTTCATAACTGAATTCCCACACCATGTCCTCCAAAGAAATACGTCCGAGAGCAGAATCAAGCCAGTGAAAATCCAAGCCCTCCAGACCTCACAGCGGAATGAAGCTGGGCAGGAAGGAGAGGGAAACGCAATGCATTTCAGAAGCCCTTGCCTGGGGAACAAGGAGCAGAGCAGTCTCAGGCCGGGCGGTTGTCAGCACCTTGGCTCCTCCAGTGCTGCCCTTCAGTGCTCCTCACGGCCCAGGTCAGCAGCAGCAGCTGGAGCCCCCAGAGCCCTTTCAGCAGCCGAGGCCCCCAGGGCTGTGGCAGCAGCTGGAGCCTTCAGAATGGTGGCCAGTGCCACTGCCACAGCCCTTAGAGCGGTGGTGTCGGCTAGGAGAGATGGGCGGGGCCTGCGGTGGCTCGGGCAGCAGCCCCCACCCCCGGAGCTGCAGCAGCCCCCGGAGCTGACACTGCAGAAGGAAGAGACTGGAGGTGGGCAGGAGGCAGGACACTTGGGTGGGCATTTGGGGGGACACTTGGGAAGGGGCTAGTACTGCTGCTAACTTTGCTGGCAGGACATCTCAGAAGCTGAATGAAGATGAAAGACAGCACAGAATCTTCATGTTCAGCTAGCTCAAGGTGACTCCCTTACAGTTGATCGAACTTTGAATTCACCTAATTTAATCTTTAGAGTGATCAGATTTTTAAAACTATCTCCCAAAATCAATGATAAGATATATGCAAAAGGTTTCAACCCAGCAACTCCATCATTTCAAAGGAATCCCTTGCAACTTCAAAAAAATACCAATCCTTCTTTCCTTTCCCCTACCTTGTACCCTCCCCTTCCGGCAGAACCCCTCTTCTCCTTTCTCCGTGTGTTCCTTCAATATTGCCCTGTACTCAGGACTTTTCTCTGCCCAAAACACCAGCACATGAGTCCGTCTGGCTTTCAAGATGTGTTTTACCTGGTTTAGGTACTAGAGCAGATCACTCAGGAGTCAAGTGGACTGAGGTGCTGTCTGAAGCTTCTGCCTCTTATATGGAGACAGCTCTCTGAACTGGCACCAGGAGGCCCGGACCATGTGATGGATGCTGAGAGCATCTTTCACAAGGGGCACCATGACTACCCTCCTCTCACATCCCAAGGACCCAGTTCTTCCCTCCATAAGCATGTCAAGTATTAACCGGCAGGAACATCCCCTGGGAAGCTAAGGCCTCCAGGACAGTGACGGAGCTTAGCAGATTGCACAGTGCCTGTCAGTCTCCCAGGCAGCTCTGCTATGCTCCCTATGTCCTGAGCCGGGTCGGTGTGTCTACACCTCTGGGGCTAAGAACATGTCTCCACTGTCCATAGTATAGGAAATGGACGGAGAACTTCCCATGATGGAAGTTAAATGGCCCTTTTTAGAATATGTGTAGAGATCCAAAATAAAATGCCAGATGCAAGCCAATGATCTAATGTGGCTTTTTCATTCTTGGATGATGTCATTACCCAGACTAAGAATGCTTGCCATCTCAATGATGTTATTTTAGGCAGGTCTAATGGAGATGGTGGGGGTGGTTACTTACCTCTACTTGACCCACCAGAAGAACGCACAAATGGCGCTGACTCGGCTCTAACAATCCCTGTGAAAGGGCAGAAGAGGTCTAGGAACGGCTTTTCTTTCCACATGTGGTCCTAAAGAAGGCACCTTTGGCCAGCCCAAGGTGAGGTGGCAGGGATCGGGTGTATGCTGAGGGTGGAGCAGGAGAACTAGGCTCATACGGAAGTTGCCAGAAGTGAGGCATCAGTTCTGGTCATCCCTAAGAAGGGAGCATCCAACCTGGGAAAATTACTTTTGTATAAATGCCCTTTTTGTATACATGCCCTTCGGGTGGGATGTGGGCATAGCTTTTGCAAGCTCATGATAGAATGAATCCATAGCTTCCACCCCCCCCTACAAACAGTATCCTGAGGGCAAGAAAGTCATCAAAATCTATTTAGCTGTCAAGTTGGCCAAAATATGGCATGTTCGCTATGAAAACTGCAGTGGGGAGAAATGAGACAGGAGGAGACGTACAGCACCTCTGAGCTGTGGGAATGGCTGTGATGAGAAGCAAGTGGCTACATTGTAGCACAGCTTCTGGAGAGAGGCTATCTGGCATCAGGTCCCCACTGCACATTCATTATCACTATAAAAGGGGGCTAATAAGAATTCCTACCCACTAAATAGGAAAATATAGATAAAGTTCTTAGAACCATGCCTGAGACTCTTTGTTCAAGATGCTAGTTTTAAAAGAATCTAATCATTATAGATACTCTTTTAGATCCATGAGAAAATATCTCTTAAATTTCAGATTACTGATCTACCTGTTCTTGAAACCCAAAGTACTTTTTGCAACATCAGAGCTTAACCCTAGTGTTTTCTTACACAAAAATATTAAGATACATAATATGCCACTGGGGAATGAGATTATAAGAAAGTATAATCATTATGAAAAAATACCAAAAAATAGGAAGAATTTAAAATTCACTTATAATCCCACCCCTGAGTAGTCTTAAATATTGTGCTATTTTCCTTACAGTCTCTCCTTTTTTATTTTTACTTTTGTTCAGTCTTTTTTACTATTTATGCTTTTTTTGTAGTAATTTGTGTTTTGTTTTGACTTTACCTAGTCTTTATCACAACACTTATATAAGAGTTTATCTTCTTAACTTCTCCCTTAACATTTTGACATAAATATTTCTCATGTCGTCACTCATTTTTTTGTAAGCAATATTTTTGGCAGCCATAGAACATGTCATGGAG